TTTTATGTATAAAATATGTAAACATCCTTAAAACAGGATTAGTTCACTTGAGAAGCGTTTAATAATATATATTTTCAGATTACATCTTAAGCTATTTGTTAATGTTCATATAATATTCAGTATTTAAACCATTAAACATTATATTTTAGATTTAGACTATACGTTTTTGTAATAAAATAAATAAATGTTGATATTGAATAGATACAGTACCTTTTTTGAAAAAAAAAAAAAAAGAATACTTTTATGCAGCAAGGATGCATTGCATTTGATCAAAAGTGACGGTAAAGACATTTATAATGTTACAAAAGATTTTTATTTCAAATAAATGCTGTTCTAGCATTTATTTGAAGCAGCATAATATTTGTAATAATAATATTTTTTTTTTTAGAAAAGAAATGTTTTAAAGCATAAACCTCAAGACATTTAGTTAGATTTATGTTTTTTTAAACTTATTTTTGAAGGCTTAATATCTTATGCATTTATGAATCTCATGTAAACAGATCTTTTATTTTATTTATTTATTTATTTTTAGATATTTTACTCAAAATTTTGACCCATCTTAAAAATAGTTCGATTTTATTAGAATTCACAGCTTCCTCCTTCTACCATTGTACTTTTTGATCTGTTCTTTTGTTTGTTCTTTTGTCACCCTCGGCCTTTATGACACAACAATTACATGAAGAACCTCAGTGTTACAATTGATGTACTTTACAGTCTGCTCAAACAAAAGGGCCATTAAAGTGCCCTACTCTCTCTCTCTCTCTCTCTCCCCCCCCCACTCATATTCTCCTTCTCTCTCTCTCTCACTCTTTCTTCCTGTCTCCGTCTATGAGGGTCGCCTAAAGAAAATAAATGAGAACCATAACAAAGTCAAGAGCCACAAGATCAATAAACAGCCTAATGAATACCATTCTCAGCGCATGCCCCGACGTGCTCGGAGAAGGACTCTTTGTTTCTTTGTGAGTGTGAAAAAGCAAAGGGGGTTTGGGAAAATGAAAAGCAGAACTCCACAGAGTGAGAGATTGTGAGTGTATCTGGAAGGAAGGGCAGTATGTGTTTATGGAGAGCCTGACCAGTAGTGCAGATTGACAGGAAATGGTGTCTTTTCTTAGATGGCTGGGCCATACCACCACCAGCGGGCCGACAGGGGAGGGGAGAGGGGTGAAGATGGATGAGGCAAGGCCGAGACGCAGGCACCTCTGTTGCTCCTGGCATTGTGTTCAGCTGTTTGCTTGACTTGAACCCTGGTATGGCTCCGTCCACTCCCCAGCTGTTCACTTATTGAAAGCCATTGTCACTGACACTGGCAGAGCTATTTATTTCATTGTTTTTTTTTTTCCAGGTCATGTAGTACTGATTGCCTGTGTGTGGCGGAGGTATATGTGGTTTATTAGGGGTAGGGGGAGTAATTTGTAGCAACTAGGGTTGTGAGGGTTACTGGCAAGAACTTGTTGAATCAATTGGTAGTCTCTGAGCTGCTTGTTAACTGGTCTAGTACTTGTACATCAAACTCAATGGTCATGGTCGTGAAAACCTGAAAAAAAATTTCCAGACCTGAATTTTCATTTCCAGACCTGGAAAAGTTATAGGAATTATTAAAACCATAAAAGGGAAAATGCATGTTTCTTGTTGTGCTCTGCTCTGAAGTATATCTCACCTGGATGTTGCCACAAATCACCAGATAACATTAGTTTCTCTTATTAGTGTACAAATGGCATCAATATGTATAATCGCTTACTTCTATTGATGCAGAATCTTGGTATCTGACATACAAATGGAAATCTATTGCAGCAATCTCTATGAGATGATTTTGAACAGCTTGAAAGGTCATGCAAAAAGGTCATTAGTCAAAAAAAGGTCAAAATATTGTGGGAGCCCTCAATAGTCAGTTTGGATGCCTTATACAGTTGTACTCGAACGAATACAAGGCTCTAAAGAATCGAAGTAGATTTTGTTTGATAGGTTGTACTGTTTGGTAAAGTTTGAATTAGCCTATTTAAGTGTATTTAATTTATATATATATATATATATATATTGCATATGTGTAAAATTAACTTAATTCAAAGGAAAAGTAAGCCTTTCTTGTTTTTTTCTGACTCCTTTGGCAGATATTTGTTCTTGTTTTAAGCATAAACTCACTTCATTTTGATCAATTTCTCTTCTTATGTTCTGTCATTTTGCATATGCAGTAAATGTGTCTTGATTTAAGTTTAGCCTGATGCGATTTCGATTGTTCCTTTCTCTTTGGAGTGTTACAAGCTCTTGGTGCATAAAGAAGATCTGTAAAGTTGCAAAGACTAAAGTCTCTCTCACTCTTTCTTCCTGTCTCCGTCTATGAGGGTCGCCTAAAGAAAATAAATGAGAACCATAACAAAGTCAAGAGCCACAAGATCAATAAACAGCCTAATGAATACCATTCTCAGCGCATGCCCCGACGTGCTCGGAGAAGGACTCTTTGTTTCTTTGTGAGTGTGAAAAAGCAAAGGGGGTTTGGGAAAATGAAAAGCAGAACTCCACAGAGTGAGAGATTGTGAGTGTATCTGGAAGGAAGGGCAGTATGTGTTTATGGAGAGCCTGACCAGTAGTGCAGATTGACAGGAAATGGTGTCTTTTCTTAGATGGCTGGGCCATACCACCACCAGCGGGCCGACAGGGGAGGGGAGAGGGGTGAAGATGGATGAGGCAAGGCCGAGACGCAGGCACCTCTGTTGCTCCTGGCATTGTGTTCAGCTGTTTGCTTGACTTGAACCCTGGTATGGCTCCGTCCACTCCCCAGCTGTTCACTTATTGAAAGCCATTGTCACTGACACTGGCAGAGCTATTTATTTCATTGTTTTTTTTTTTCCAGGTCATGTAGTACTGATTGCCTGTGTGTGGCGGAGGTATATGTGGTTTATTAGGGGTAGGGGGAGTAATTTGTAGCAACTAGGGTTGTGAGGGTTACTGGCAAGAACTTGTTGAATCAATTGGTAGTCTCTGAGCTGCTTGTTAACTGGTCTAGTACTTGTACATCAAACTCAATGGTCATGGTCGTGAAAACCTGAAAAAAAATTTCCAGACCTGAATTTTCATTTCCAGACCTGGAAAAGTTATAGGAATTATTAAAACCATAAAAGGGAAAATGCATGTTTCTTGTTGTGCTCTGCTCTGAAGTATATCTCACCTGGATGTTGCCACAAATCACCAGATAACATTAGTTTCTCTTATTAGTGTACAAATGGCATCAATATGTATAATCGCTTACTTCTATTGATGCAGAATCTTGGTATCTGACATACAAATGGAAATCTATTGCAGCAATCTCTATGAGATGATTTTGAACAGCTTGAAAGGTCATGCAAAAAGGTCATTAGTCAAAAAAAGGTCAAAATATTGTGGGAGCCCTCAATAGTCAGTTTGGATGCCTTATACAGTTGTACTCGAACGAATACAAGGCTCTAAAGAATCGAAGTAGATTTTGTTTGATAGGTTGTACTGTTTGGTAAAGTTTGAATTAGCCTATTTAAGTGTATTTAATTTATATATATATATATATATATATATATATTCTATTAATTTTAAATTATGCATATTAAACTTTTTTTAAGCATTTATTTAATTGATGGATTGATTAATAATGAGGCTGTAAGGAATAGAAAAACATTTTATTTGATAGACTTTATGGGTTTTTATTAAAAAGATTTAATTTATTTGAAAAAATCTGTATGTTCTTTTTTAAATATTACTTTTATTTTGTTTGTTTATTTCTTTATCTATTTATTTTATTTTATTGAGTATTTGGGGCAGGAACAGAAATCAACTAGGGTTGATTGGCAAAAAGTCATACAATCATCTGGTAATTATAAATTATACTGCTAAACCGGTAGACTATTGTCAGGGTAGATATCCTATTTCATTACATGCAAATGATAATGAGGCTGTGAGAGATAGATGTACAGTCCATTCAAGGTCTTAGGTCATATCCAGGCACACATTTAGAAGCTGAGCAGAACTCTGTAGAGAGCTCATTAGAATTACTCATTAGAATTACCAATTCGAATCGGATTGCATGCTTGTTTATTAAATATTTGACTAATTTGACAATGCTGTCAGCTACCAATAAGATATTTAAATCCAATTTAAATGTAAAAAAAACAAAACAACTATGTTTCCCATTTTTTCTATTTACTGGAAATATATTAAAAAGTACATTTTTTTGTAGTTCTGTCAGCTAAGCAAGCGTCTTCAGTGTACACATCAGTCTTACATTTCACCGACTGTACGCTTCTACCCCTCACAGCCTCATTTTCACGCACGTCAAATTAAGTATGCCGTTTACTGACTGTAGTCCATGGGAAAGGACTCAAATTCATCATGTCTTGATCGCAAGTGTGAAGACAAGCCCTGACATTCCTTCCCATGTTCATCTTCCTGTTGGTCTCCTGCTTGGCGTCCTCTAGTGCATGGATTCTCCCCACGCAACTGAATAAAGTTCCTATTTTAAAAGCTTCTATGAGGACCAGAGGGGGCTTTGAATATTCGCCACATACTTAATGAGCTAGAGACAGCAGCGGTCATCAGTCATTTACTCTGTTTTTGTGGAGACAAAGGCGAGAATTTTGCCCTGGCATCTGCTGCTTGCACAATGCTCTCTCTCTCTCTTGTGTTCGCTCGCTTGCTCTGGACTTTAATGTGGTTATGATTAGAGACGGGGCTGAGGGACGGGTTCGTGGGGGTAGGGGGGTCTCATATGTACGCAAGGGAAAAAAGGGGGAGGTGCGCAAAGCGAGAGAGCGTGTTTGTGTGCAGTGCGTACTGAAATATGAATCACAAAAGAGACAAAAAGAGGTCAAAGAGAATCAAATAAAAGTTTGTCCTCTAACCAGATCAGAGCTGGCAATGCGAACACACAAACACATACTGTGGCCCCTCCCTGTGGCCCTCTCTCTCTCTCTCGCTCAACCCTCTCTCTCTCACAAATCCCCCCCCCTCGATCTCTCTCTCTCTCTCTCTCTCTCTCTCTCTCTCTCCCTCCCTCCACCCCCCTCTGTGTGCGCAGGACTGAGGCAGTTGGTTCGCTCCAGAGTGTCTGAGAGCCGCGAGTACTATGTGGGGCTGTTATTTAGGTCTGTTACAACACGCTAGGAGCAGCTCACCCCGAGCAACCAGCACCGCAGATCAGCCGGAGAGGGAAAGAGAAACAAGCAGCGTGACAGAGAGAGAGAGGAAACGCTTACAAGAGCAAAACCAGCGGGATCAGGCAGCACGTATATCCTGACTAGAGGAATTCCAGCAGGGGATTTAGCACTGTCGTAGCTGCGGGTGTTGTTATTGTTTTTTTTGGTGACGCGAGGCGTTCGGAGGCGGGTGGGCAAAAGGGACGCAGCATGTTCGACTGTATGGAGGCTCTGGGCATGGGTCCCCGCCAACTCTACGATGCCACCAACCGGGGTGCATGCATGCTTCGGAAGGCGAGCCCCTTCTACGCAGGACTGGACCCTTTTGCTTGGATGGGGACGGCCAGCATACGCTGTAAGTGTCTTTTCTTATTCTTTTAATGGGGCCTCCACTCTCACGTTGACCACAGGACGCTCGGTGCCAAACGAACCACTCAAGCTGCATTCATCAAGCTGTGTTTGTGTGTTTTAGAGATGCTGTTTGAGTCGATCGTTTTCCATGATTGTCACGAACAGAGTCTGGTTTCAGCAACAGTGTGGGTAACCTGATTTTTGACCTTGTCGGTTGCTGAAAAGTTAAACAGAAAGGAAGTAATACGAGAGGGAGAGATGAAAGAGAGAGTGTTTGAGAAAGAGAGAGAGAGGGAGAAGTGGGTGGCGGGGGGGAACCTGACACTGTGCTATAATTTCAGTCATGCAGATTGCATTTGTCTTCTTCACTTCACAATTGTGCCTGACAGCTCTGGTATCCCAGCATGCCTGACCATGGCTCAACCCACACAACAGCATCAAACAAGCATAAAAGTGGAAAAAACGAGAGGGGCATTACTCAAGTATGTGTCACTGATAAAACTCTCAGATCGGGAATTGGAAAACGGACTGGGTGATTAGACTGCGACAGGAAGCCAAATTGTAAACGGCATCAAATAAATAGTAAAGAATTGGTGTAAATATACTGAGTGGAAAGTTCAGTAAGTATGAGAGCTAGAAGACCTGGACCGCTCTTCGATTTTCTCCCTTTTTCATTCTCTGTCTCTGTTTCAAACATTTTATTTTTCCTTCCTCTGTTCCAGACCTTAGACAGCCTTTGGCTTTGGCTTTAAAAACAATCATGCTGCAGCATAGACAAAACTGGGGTCCGTTTTCATAAGTTTTCAAATGATACTTCATGAGACGCTGAGAACAAAACTCAAACGTCCAGTTCGGTAAACATCCCCGTTACCCTTTTCCCAAAATGCATGGCGCTCTTGCTGTTTTCCATTTGTATTTGTTGAAGCTTCTGCTTTTTGTTCCTCCTTCTCGGCCTCTAAGGGCGACTCATCTGTCTTCATTAATCGTGAAAGACACCAACGTTTCAGTGGCTGTCAGCCACACTGGGTTCTCTTTAATGAAGACAGATGCCCTGTCTGAGCTCGACCCAGAGGGGAGGGAGGGAGGGAGGTCCATAATGCCTCTTCTCCTTGGTCAGGGCCCTGATGATAACAAGATGAAATCTGTTTATTTAATCAGTCATGTCTCACCAACGCTACACAAGCACACGATCAGGGCCCACATTGGAAAACGAGTCCTCCAATTGCTCTGCCACTGCTTCTCGAATTCTGTTCCTTCCTGGTTCCAGGAAATAGCAGAGATCGAGAGGCAGTCAGACAGATCCCGCTGCCCTCGGGGAAGAACAGGAGTGGTGTACTGTTACAAGCCACCATGCCCAGTAACCTCTGTAAACAAGACCGGCCTATCCGACCACTGGACTCACTCAGTTGTTTCTCTTAATTGTGCTCTTAAACCAGATCAATCAGTGTTTAGTCCAGAGTTTCATTAGGGGCAGGCCAGCTGCAATGCTTTGTGGGTAAACTTCTCTAAGAGTTACATTTGTCTCACTGTCTCTTAAAGTTTCAGCTTTTTTGAGTCTTAATTTGATTAGAAAGCAGCAGAGATGGGGTGGGGACTCATTGCAGGCCAAGACTCGAACCTGCATCAGCAGCAACACCATGGCTTAACATATCTGGGAGATTTTAGCACTTCTTATTTTGTAATCTGTAGAAAGGAAGTCTCCTTCTCATAAAAATACTTTTTATGCATCTGGTACTTTTTGTTTTTACAGTTTGTTGAATTTTAGCCCACTAGTGCCTTTTCTAGGCTGTAGGCTAAGTGGTGTCTGTTTCTGCCTGATGTCCTCATAAACTCTATAAATATTCTGGATTGAGCTGGTCATGTGACTCTACACTAATCTTCAAAAGTTTATGGTCAATAATATATATATATAGCAAAGATGCATACATGCTGAATGTACTTTTGTGTATTGCATTTTGATGTTTTGCTTTTATTTTCACCACAGAGTGATTGAAATGTACCAGTTTTTTTGTTTTTAATGGCTTACAGCAAACTTGAACCACACAGTAAACCACGCTGACAGTGAAGGGTCTTCACTTGCATTGCCCTGCACCATTCACAAACCCCCCTGCTGCCTGTTAGAGGAGAAGAGCAAGAGTATCGCAGCCCGCTGTCAGTGTAGCCAGTCTTTCCTGTTTTTATGTGCAGCAGTTCAAGACCTTTGCAGTTTTTTTTAATTCAATGTCAGAGGTTATGGAGATGCTTTGCACGGGCCAGTGTCAGCTCTCGTGACTGTGAGCTGCTCTTGTTCCATCCCTGAAAAGGAAGAGAGCTGAAAGAGCTTTTTTATTGAGCAATTCTTGAAGCACCAGGGGTCTATTGAGCCATATGTTTTAAAAAAAGGAAGTACGCAGGTGATTTAGTAATCTATACATAAGAAAGATATCATCATGTTTCTCTGAACCGCTCTTGATTTCCCTTTTTTATTTGCTAAGAGGTTGCTCATGATGTGCGACACTACTGTTTCACAGTTTTGTTAGACTGTTGGGAAGATTAATTTACTACATTTTGGTTTTTGCTGCATTAAAATGAGGACTAGAATCCGAGATCGTCTTCCTGTCCTGATCATTCGGGCTCATACACACAAGCCATTGTTTTCAGCAAAGTGTGCTGTCCACATCAGAGTCTGATAAGCTCTCTGAAACAGAGCTCTGCGTGAAAGACAGGGAAATGAGGGCTTCCTGTGTCCGCTGTCACACGCAGCCCGATCTCATTTATTGTTTTAATGGAAGTCCTCAATTATTTCGTTATAATTACAAAAAGATTCAATTAAAAGATTAGAGTGCCCGACAAGGCAGGAGAATAATAAATGATTGATTCAGTGCTTGTGTGTGTGTGTATGTGTCTCTCAGATTGTGTGTTTGTTAGAGGAAATAGGAAAAAGTGGTTGGCCGTGAGGGATTCACACTGATCGCATCCCAGTTCAACAATAGAAATATACTCTGTTAATGTTAAACAAGCTTTGAATAATATTTTTACTTCTTAACTTGTGTTATTAAATCTTGCACTTCATTGCAAGGATGTTTTAGCCCACAAGCAAATAACCCGTATAGCTTCTGGGCTAAGCAATATCACTTCTGATGTGTTTTAGCCCTCAGTGGTGTTTTTCTTTGTGATATTCTTATGAACTCTATAAATAATCACGCTTGCACTCACTTAGTATGGGTGGTTAACCGTACAAATTAAGGATGCACTGATAATACAATTTTTACTGATAAGCCTATAATTATTTTCATGTTACGGCTGATAACTGATGAATGGCTGATATTTAAATGTTATAATATTTTGTCTAAATAAATTAAATATAGAACACTAAAATCAGTTGTTTTGAATGCTACAAGTCAATTTAGGCATCAAAACATTGAAATGTAAAGCAAAAATTTTTTCGCTGAAACGTTAAGTTATTAGTGCTTTTAAAAATGAACTAAATAAGGATTAGATGACAGCAAAGATGATCTAAATGTAAAAATAGGGAAAATGAGAATCCACAATTACATATCCAATGCATCCCTAAATGGTAAGCTTTTTAAATGTCGAATCTCATAAGAAATGTGTCTGTGCTGTCATTTTGTGCTTTTTGTGCATTTTCATCTTCGAATTATGCATAAGGCGTTTCAGTGCATTTTGATGATTTAAAGGTGGTGCAGTAGCTCTGTATGGATGGCCGTTGAACTCTGTCTAAGAGGGAGTTGAAGGCAAACCCAAGAGAGGAGGCCCGGAGCGGCCGCTGAGATTCCACAGTCTGCCGCTGGAATCCGTTTGCTGCTGTTTGGGCAGTTTATAATATCCCGGCAGGGTCAAGGAACCGTAAATAAGAGAGATCCGCCTCTCATAGAACTGCAATAATGACTGTTTTGCACTGCTTGAGGGATGGGCGAATTTTAGACTGACTGTGAAATGTTCAGATGGTGCAATTGAAAGAACCAAAATATGCACATGGTTCTGTTTGGGTCAAATTATTAGGGTGAGTCCTTTGCACCTCGTTGTAGATTTCAGGACCATCCCGACAGGCATGCCGAAAGACTTATTGGACAGTCCAAAGTTGCCCCACATCTATTCAGGAAGCATTGCTAATTAGCTAATCTTTCCTCTTCACTTTCATGGGTCTCTGAGAGACACAAACAAGGCCAGGCATCATGAGATTGAATACTCTGGGTGAGGCTCAATGGCTGTCATAGTTTGGCCATCACCTCCCTTTTGTCCGATGATTTAGTGATTTAGTAGAGATGTTTACTGACAGCTCCGGTGCCTGGTTGGCAGTTTCTCTCTGGGGGCGAGGCGTTGGCAGGATCTTTGTCAGTCTGAAACCATGTGTGAGCTCAGCGTGAGGGCAGAAGTTTTGTTACCAGTGTGTTGTTGACTGACGGCTTGGCTCCGTCGTTACTAGCGCTCACTGTTATGTGAAAATGTGAGGCAAAATATAGCTCAAACCCCCACTATGTTAGTCTGCAGCTGGGCCGTAGAAACTCCGCGTCAGTCAATCATTGGTTTTATCTAAAATGAGAATCAGGTTGAGGGGTTGCAGCACTGTTGATGAGGTGATGCTTCTCAGAAGACATTGATTCTGGTACTGTGTTGAATTGCTAGAGCTGAGATCTGGTGCATGTTTCAGTGTTTAACATGATCTCAATGCGTTTTGATAAATCTGCACATCATTGTTTCTGACTGATTTTATCAGTGGTTTCATGTCACAGATGCTCTTGTAGCTCTTGTCATGAAAAACATCCTGTTGTATGATGGGGAGGGATGGTCAGCAAGTCACACAAACCGACTAGTTGATGTAAAGTTTTTTCTCTGGTATTTTTAGTGGCAATGCTTTAAAGGGGAATTAAGACTTCTCTGAGATTTTCATGTGCTGTGGTTTAGCATGCTAAAACTGTCGGTGAGAGAAGTTGCGCCTTTATATTCATTCCTTTTAAAGCACCGTCTCTACTGCCATCAAAGCACTGCTTGAATAACAAATTC